CATCAGTAAAAGTATCAGACAGAGAAAGAAAACAGCTATGGGAAATGGGTTTGCAGACTCAGGAAAATATCACTGCTCTGGTTAACACTTTGATATTATCCTCAGAGCCATAAAAGCAAGGATATTTGCCTTGGGTTTTTTGTCCTTCTGTTTAAAATACTGAAGAACTTGTTAGGTCAGCTCCAAAGTGCTGAAATGTGCCAGTATGTGAAAAGGATTCCACAACCCCGTGTATGCAAAACTGTCACACACACCCCAAAGCATCCTCAGCCCTTTGAAGCTACACCATCATCACAGCAAAAAAAATATGCTGGTTACATGACATATTTTAATCTATATGCCACAAGGCTTATTAGATTGGAAAATAAATCACAGACGCTGGGACTACTTATTACTATAAATCAAAAGTAAATTCTGCTGTTTTATGTATGAAAACACAACAATGTAAGGATGTTCCAGGAAAGAAAGGGCTAGGACTTATTCACAAAGGTTTTGGCTCCACTAGAGATAAAAAGATCATTAATTCATTAAATTATCTCAGCTGATTTAACGTGATTCAAGTTAGTCCTGTCTCCTGACAGGGATGCAGTTCTAAGAAGAGAAAAAAAGAAATGAGGAAAAGAAATCTCATAACCAGATGCTATACCCAGAGGAAGACTGATTGGGAATATGTTTGTATACATAGGGAAAAAAAGTGTTTCTGCTACAAAAAAAACTGCCTTTTAGGTAAGTATTTATCAAACCATGCTGAACTTAAACAACTTTTTAGCCATGTTTGAAGCCAGTGCTGTAAACTCAAAGCTTGTATCTGCAGCACTGAGTGGTATTTACAAGACAACAGGAGCACAAGCAAATTCCAGAGCACTACAAATGCCCAGCCCAGCAAATGTTTAACAAGAATATCCAAGTAACCCTCTGCAGGACCAATCACATGTGTAGAGTACAATAATGCAGCTCTAATACAGAAGGGAATATTTGATGGGTAATTATTTAAATCATGAGTTTAATTCATTTTAAATGCAACTTAATTACTTGCTCAGACATCAACAGGGAAAAAAGAGTTATCATTCTTTATATTCTACCTCTAGTGCCAGTTTTGCCYGTTTCTTAAAATTAAATGAAATTCTAACTACCTCTGTCGACTATGACAGACTGATCTTAGTAATGGCATGGATCTGTATGTCCAGGGTTGTGCTGAAAACTGGCAGACCTATCACTGGTCACTYAGCAGCACAGCAGATACCTGGCACTAACAGCACAACCAAGAATTCAAAGACACACAGGGGTTACCGCTCATAATACTTGTTCCTGTAAAAGCACAAAACTACTTAAGAATTCTTTTATCTCACCTTATCTTCTCTTTGAAAGAAAAGGAAATGTGTAATCAAGAGATAAAATAATGTGTTCCCATGTTCAACCATAGTGACAAAACAAACACACAGTCTGGTTTTARACATCTGGTTGCTGATGAGAAATTTTGTTAACCGTGAAAAGAAAACAGTGTAAGTTGTAACACACCCTCTCTCCTGAACTCCTTTGTGCAAGAGATTAAATAGATGTTAAATTAAAACCCTGAACGAGAAACACAGGAACATGCTGTTCTTTTTTCCATCTTTTTAACCATGCTTTTGAGACATCCATTTAGTATCACAAATACTATTCCTACATTTACCTACCATTTGAAATGCATATTGTAGTATGCCTTTCCCTGGCTGGAAAACACTTGGAACAGACACGAAACCACTAAAAGTCTGTGACAAGAAAGAAGAGCTGAGAGAAGATGTCTATGTAAGATTAAGTTTCCAAGAAAGGGCAGGGAGAATAGATTTTGTAGTTTCAAAAGAAACTGCAAGTACAGAAAGACATCCCCTAGCCAAACACACCTTGCAGAACTAACTCCAAACATGTGTACATGTTATCCTGATGAAAAGCTCATAAGCACCAAGATTAGGAAAAGTATTAGAGAAGYAATAAAATCAGAAAGCTCAAAATATTCCTAATGCATCTCTAAGAGAGAAAAAGTGGTTTTGACGTTCTAAGCATATCCTTTATACTTTGCTAGCACCATAAAAAATACCACTATACTCTATAACTACTTACAGAGCTAGAAAAACCAATGCACGTTTGTGATGGATTTAACTGTCTTTATATGCAAGATCATCAAAGTGTTAACTCAGCCCAAGTATTGCAAATCAGGCTGAAGGGCCCAGCACACAGCCTCTGTCAGACAAACATGCGRTGTTCAGAAAGGAGCAACAGGTCTCACATTTAAGATTTAAGTCCCGGTTAAGCAGATAGAACATCAATTKATTGCTTCCGCAACAACTGACCATTTTTAAAGCCTTTTTCAAAATTCAAACCAGACATGCAATCCCCTTTTCCTCAGTGACAGGACACGCACGCCGAAAGCGCCGGGAAAGCCGCAGGTGCGGCAGCAAGGCCCGAGCGGGTGAGGGTGATCGTTGGCGCCCAAGGCAGCGCCGTGAGGGGAAGCGCATGAGGGGCAGCCCAAAGGCCGAGGCTGCGGACGCGACGCTTCTCTCTCCACACTGAGGCCCCTTTGTTAAAGCCCGGCCGCTGTTTCGGGGGCGCGGGGCCGGCACCCCGAGCTCCCAGCCCGGTACAGCGTGCCGGGGCTCTGATGGACCCCTCAGACAGGGCAGCCCAGCCCAGCAGCCCAGCCCAGCCCAGCAGCCCCGGCTCGCCGCCCGGCCTCGTTACCTGCTAGCCTCCCGGCCGCCGGAGCTCCCGCAGCCGCGTCCCGCCGTACCTGCCCTTTTTTGGGTTCCGACCGCGTCTTTTCCGTCAAGGCAACATCACTTCCCGTAGAGCCCGAGGTGGGGGCGGGCCGGGCGGCACCGCCCCGGCGTGTCCCGGCCCCGCCGCGGCCACCTGGGCGGGCTGTGAGCGCGGCCCGCGGGCAGCACCGCGCGGTGCTCAGCGGCATTAACCGGGCTGCCTCTCCAGCCCCTCCCGCCCCACCTCTGAATGAGAATTCATGCGAGGCAAAACAGGTTTTACAGCATCCGCAGTGCCTGGTTAATGCGCACCACTGTGGGTTTAATGAGTCCTTCCTGCCGCCTGTTGGCTGCCTGCCTTCCCCCGCAAAASAAGAGTCCTCTCTTCACTCTCAGCAGCTGCCAATAAACGCATTTTATCCCGCAGTCTCAAGAATTCAACAAGTAGAGTCTTAAGCTCAGCTGCATCAATAACACTTTCCACCTGCATCCCTTGTTGAGACTTCAAATTCAACTGCCACCTCTATGGACAATCCGGTCATATTTGCAAAGGAAGTGCCTACTAGACCTGAGCCACTCCTCTTCAAAATAACCTTTCCAATATATAGTGGTATTGTAAAGGAAGCTGTTGCAGTCACTGCAGTACTTCGGTGTTTGCGCTGAACTTTTGCTGCCATTTGTGGCATTTCCTCATAGAATCACGGAATGGTTTGGTTGGAAGGGATCTTAAAGGTCATCCAGTTCCAACCCCCTGTCRTGGGTAGGGACACATTCCACCAGACCAGCATGSTCAGAGCCCTGTCCAACCGGGCCCTGGATACTTCCAGGGATGGGGCAGCCACAGCTTCTCTGGGCAACCTGCACCASTGCTTCAGCACTGACACTGAAAAAATTTCTTCCTAATACCTAATCTAAACATGCTGTCTCRGTTTAAAGCCACTACCCATGTAATGTCATGTTCAAACTGCATTTACTGCACTCAGCTGTAAATGTCCCAGTCCACCTTCTACTGCTATGCTCCCATCTCAGCTKCCATACCACTGCCTCCAGCTGTCACATTGCTCCTTAAAATACAGATACCCAGAGAATAGATTACTCCCCTCATTCTGTCCAAACAAGATTCTGTGTTAGAACCAAAATCTGATGTACGTTTGTCGCAAGATTTCCTGGGTTTGGTTTCTTTTTAGATTTACTGAAGTCTTGACATATCTACTGATCTGGTTTCCCCAAGTCTCAGATTCTGTTCTGTCAGACTACTAGTCCACACCTATTCCAAGAGCTRTGCTGTCTTCCTGAGCTCTTCTCACACTGAGGCTCTTCTCCAAATACCTATTATTTATTTACTTATTATTTATTAAACATCCACTGTAGCCTCACTCTGTCAGGAATGAAAGCTGTATATATACAAATGTGGTATGCGTGTGTATGTTCATGTGGCCAGGTCTGACCATAAGCTAAAGATGCCCAGGTTGGGTGTACTTCCTTTCTCAGCCATTTCTACAACTGCTTTCCCAATGGAACTCACATATTAGGGTATTAAAAACTGAATCCATGAGCAGACAAAAATTATATTTATCACTCGGAGGATAAGATCAGAAGCAATCCAAGAAAACCCATGAAGCATAATCATACAGCAATATTTTTTCGGATTTCCTGACGTTATTTAGTGACATAGACTTTCATTCAGAATGTCATACATGACTCAACATTCACGTCCCAAAGTCTGGTACCAAGCACACGGACATGCGGCTGCAGCTCCAGCAGGCAGGTGGCTCCGGCTCGGAGCTGCACAGGCGGCTCGGGAGAGGCGGTCCCGGCAGGTGACGGTCGCGCCGGCTCCGAGCGGCTCCATCGCCCCCGCTGGACGGGGCGTGCCCGGGAACGGCGCCGCACGATTCCCTCAGGGCCTCTTCTCGGGCGCGGCGTCCGGCGGCGGCGCGGCGGTGCTGGCGGGCCCGGCGGGGCCGTGCGGTGCGGCGGGCGGCAGGAAGATCGGCCCGTAGATGTAGAGCCCGCTGGCCACGCCGAGCGTCACGGCCACGAACACGTGCTGCAGCGGCATCCGCCCCCTCATGCCGGCAGGCGGCGCTGCCGCGCTCACGGACACGCGTGGGGCACGCACGGGGGGCGGGATCCCGGCACGGCTTTGGCCCGCGGCCCCGGCGCCCTCACCCGCACACGGCACACCGCCCGGCACCGGCCTCCCGCTCGCTACACCGACCGGACGGAAGTGCCGGCGCTGTCCCGCCCCTCGGGTCGCGCATGCCCCGGCGGATGGAGGCGGCCGCGGCGCTGCGGGCGCGGATGCCGGAGGCGGTGCGGCTCCGTAAGCGGCGGTCGGTGCTGTACGGCTCGGCCGGCGGGGCCGCCGCGCAGCGAGGTGCCGGTAAGCGGGACCGGGCCGAAAAGGGTGGGAAGGAGCGGGGGTGCTCCTCGAGGGAGCCGTGACGGACCGGCCTCGCCTCCGCAGGTGAGGCCGCGCCCGCGCCGGTGCTGGCGCTCGCCCTGGCGCTGCGGACGCTCAATTGCTTCCTCGTCCAGACCAGCTTCGTCCCGGACGAGTACTGGCAGTCGCTGGAGGTGGCGCATCGCATGGTGTTCAAATATCCTTCTCGTCCTGCGACCCCGCGTCCTCTCGTTGCTCCCCACGGGCCGGAGGGGACGCGGTGCCGTGGGCGGGGGAGCGCTCGGGYGCAGCTTTCCCCGCCCGGGCACGGCTTTCGGTGGCAATCAAGTGTTGGCTTGACTCGCAACAAACACCCCAAGGCCAAGGGGACCCAGATGGCTCGAGTGAAGCTTTTCGTTTCAGTTGGTCGTGATCTGTCCTTAATATTCATAATTATGGTTACCTGACTTGGGAATGGACAAGTAGCTTAAGGGGCTACTCGTACCCACTGATCTTTGCAAGTATGTATAAAGCATTACAGCTGCTGGCTCAGGATAATGTTCAGCTGCTGGTGAGTATGACCAAAAAAGGCGCATCTACTACTAAAATTTATTTTTAAAGCATTGTATTTAAGTACAGTGTATTTTTATCATTGTCCGGGAAAAATGCAAAGCCTTGAGTCCAGCAGTTAGAGATGCATGAGCAGAGACCCCATTGACTTCCCAAGGGGGCAGAACTCATTCAGAGATCTCCAGTCACAGCACTGATACCTGCGAATGCAGAGCATTAATCTTGGCCTCCATCAATCTCTTTGAGTATCGTACTGGTAGTGTTTGTCACTACATCGTATTTGCACAGTAGTTCAGTTTTCCAAAGTGTTWAGCAATATATATTTGTACTAAATTCACAGCAATTAACTAACAACAGACCCTTTTGATTTCTGTTGGAGATGAATGGCAGGTAAATCTGCTTTTTCAGATAAATCGCTGAACTTTAGACATTATCTAGTGAAGTTTTGACAGAAATACTATCCTTACCCAAGGACCTTTCATTTTTTAAATCTTAAAAAGCGATTGAGAATATTCAGTAATTCACTATTTTCATACTTGAACAGTCATTCACTAATTCAGTAGCCCTCTCAAAACCTGGAATTTAACATGGTCTCTTCCAAGTTTTCTCTCTGCTTACACAGATCTGGGTCCCTAGGCTTGCACAGGCAGTGCTGGCTGCTTTTGCTGATGTGAAGCTTTACTCATTAGTGCAACACCTTGAAAATTCAGAAACAGCAAAGTTTGTGGTGAGTCACAGCCTTTGAAAAATAATGCATGTGAATAAACACTGGTTTTGCAGTGTAAATAAAAATAAAATGATAAGTTACCTTGAAGAATTACCACCTTCATTTAKGTGAACCTGTTTTAATGTGTTGTTCATAATTATTTTCAGTTCTTCTGCCAACTCTGTTCGTGGTTTACATGGTATTCCTGTACCAGAACTCTAACAAACACCATGGAGACTATTCTTACCATTTTTGCACTTTCCTACTATCCAGTAAAAGGTTCCAAGATGGGGAACAGGTGAGAAACTTTCCTAAAAGTACTGATCATTTTTGGGTTGGGAATCAACTGATACTGTTTAAAATGCTAACTTTTATCCTACATCTAAGGCAACCAAAGGCCCCTCATTCATGTAGCACTAGCTGTATCTCATGGAAGGAACAGTCTGGTATTTCCTCTAAATATTTTTTAAGGTTGTGTTATAACTGGTATGTAAAATTAGCTATTTCCCCATTTCCTTATGCAAAGTGTGACTCTTTGGAAAGCTTTATTTTAAACTTTAAAGGACTGGAATATGTAGTAATTCAGGAAAAGAGCTTTTTTGAGTTTAGCTAGAGGTGAATTTGTTATCACAATTTTCTTTACCACTCGCTATTTTAAAGCAGGAATGTACCTCTAGTTAGCAACTCAACTGCTAACAAAGCAATTCTAGAGTTGCAGCCCTCCAAGCAAAACAGAGTATCTGCACTCAGAAAATCAAAGTTACCTGCAGTATGAAAAACTTGACCAGAGACATGACAGTACTTCWGTTGTTGAAATGTCACTGTCTGCAAAAGAATTGACCAGTCTTTTTGATAAACTTCTGGGGTTTTTATGCTTCTTCCTTCTAGTTGTAAATATTTAGCTTTGGTAGCACTTGCAATTGTTATTCGTCCCACTGCTGTTATCCCATGGATGCCTTTGATCTTCAGTCATTTTTTGCAAGAAGAGAGGAAAGCAGACCTTATCCTGCACAACTGCATTCCAGTTGGGTAAGTTCTTTCTGAATTTAAACTGTGACTGTGCACAGCTACATTTTAAGATTGGTTTTRCCACTGCAAAGGCAGATGAGCCAAAAAGCTGGTATCATGTAAATAAAAAAGGAAGCAAATAGAACCCTTTTGCAAAAATTGAAGGAAGGGGCATGCYTCCTTTAAACTGTTGTATATGCTGCAAAAAAACACTAGGAAAGACTTCATGAAGGTGAAACATGAGCAGCATTCCAGCTTAATCTGGGGTTGTGCAAGTGGCCACTGTAAAATGRCCATGAGTGTGGATAATCTTGAAAATACTAGGAATCAGAGTTTTGACAGCTATCTGGAGAAGATATTAAAGCAATTCAGGCAATATCAGTGCAACAAACTTTCCATTTTTGCAGATTGGTCACAGTAGGAACCTCTTTAATAATTGACCGTGTGTTTTTTGGTGAGGTAAGCTGTTTTAAACTTGACTTTTAAGAAGAAGGTTGGGGCTTAGTATTTTAGCATTGATGGATGTTTCAGACTTCTCTGACTTCTCTTGTTTCTGTGGCAGTGTCTGACCCATGATCTCTAAACMTATCCTAAGCCACAAACCTTTGAACACTTGACTCCTCAGTTATTTCAAATGATGGACTGCTACATAAAATCAGTCTGCTCAGCTCTGAATAGTTATCAACAAACTACAAATTTACACTTCTGTGATTAATTGCTAATTAAAGGAAGTCCATGAAGAGTCTTAGTTGAAAAAAAAACTGAAATAGAGAAAACATATTATTTAAGGCCAGTGATGACTGTGTACTTCAATGTATCTGTTGGTTTTGACTTTGGATTTGTGTTTAACTCCTCCYCCTCTCTCAGTGGGTACTGGTTCAGCTGAACTTCGTGAAATTCAATGTGCTGCAGAATTTGGGAACATTTTAYGGCTCTCATCCTTGGCACTGGTACTTCACTCAGGGACTGCCAGTCATCTTGGGTACCCATCTGCCTTTCTTTATTCATGGCTGTGTGCTGGCACCAAGAAGGTACCGCATCTTTCTGCTGGCAGTGATTTGGACAGTGGTGGTGTACAGGTATGTACAGGTAATCTCTCCTGAGTGCAACCATTGCCTCTCACTGGTTGTGTTCTTTGCAAAGCCCATGTCCTCTCCAGAACAAAGCAGCAGTGTATTCAGGTTAACTGATAGAAAACTTGAAACTATTCAAAGAATCCAAGAAATGCAGTCAGTTATTAAACTGTTTCTAGAATTTTGTGTAGTAATGCTCCCCGTAGTGTTAGTGAACATGTATTTTTAGAATTGATTAGACCTTTAAAGAATAAAATAATTTGGCATGAAATGCAATGGAAAATGAAAGAAAAAAAAAACAAAACCAACACTCAATCACCCAGCAGGTGTTTAAGCAAAAATAGAACTAGCTAGAAAACTGTTCATTAGATGCCTAGATGGTTAATGAAAACACCATTTTATTTGGCTAATACATCCTCAGTAAGATGAGAGGTTCTTGGGCCCCTAAAACGTATCTATTCCAAGTCTACATACAGCTCTTAACTAACATAAGGCTGTATTTCTCATTTTAAGCTCGGAAGTGTAAGAAAAGGCAAGTTTTTCTAAAGCATCAGAATTAACTGTAGATTAAACAGGCGAGACATTTTCAGACAAGAAAAAATAAAGCAAATAAATAAATACTATGCAATAAATATTATTATACTACAGTAACAATAGACTACCGTAAACCAGTAGCAAGACCAGAAATGCCTTTTCTTCTTACTCACCAACTCAAAACTGGAATTAGTTCTCTATTGGCTTTAGGACTTTTTTATCTCCCTTAGTTTTGTAAGAACCCTTTTGATTCCCAAGACACAGGTAATCCCCAAACAAGTCCCAAAAGTTGGCATGGGAAATTGTGTCATGTTGTATTAGCAGGGGTGACTGCTAATTTGCAAGATACAAATGGGCACTTGAATCTTAGCTTTTCATCCACACTATTTATTGTGTCTTATTACAGAAAACAAATTAGTACTGGGTAAATTATATCTAGTTGTCGAAGAATGAGACCACTTAATTGTAGTAGCCAGGAATTTTTACCAGTGCTTGGTTTGAACCGATCAAATAATCTTAATTTGAATGTACTTACTATGTTCTTTAAAAGTGACAATTTGTATTTTTATTCTTAACTGCTTCAATACCAAAAGCTTCTTAATACATGCAGCTGCTCTTCCAGTCTTCTGTGCTCTAAAACACATTTTGTCAACAGAACTGAAGCATTTAACTTCCTTGATRTAGTATTTATATGTTTTATTACAGCACTCTGAGCCATAAGGAATTCAGGTTCATCTACCCAGTACTGCCTTTCTGCATGATTTTTTGTGGTAAGCATTGGTTTCAAATGTCTTGCAAACTTACCTGGGTATAACTTTTACCCAGGGAGAGACTGTTAATTGTCAGTGTAGGTATTTGACAATGGATTCTTAGAATTAGCCTAAGCTTTTCTTACTATTTAAGAAGGAAAGAAAAAAGATGAGGAAGAGCAAGTGACCATAGCATAGATGGAGAATCTTTAGCATGGATAAAAGTATTCCTGCAAAAATACAATTGTGTCAGTGATTCCTAACTTCTCACCATTGCCACCACTAGAATGAATCTTGTTCCTTGGCTCCTTCATAGTATTCTTCCACACAGTACTTTCAAATATGCCTGACAAATGCTTTTAATTATGCAAGAAAAAAACTACCCTTTTCTAGATGCAGATATTACAAAGAATTAAAACTTCTGGAACTTGAAGCTGTATAGCTTCATTTTAAATACAAGTTCAGAACTGATGAATCACTGAACACTGTCATTTTCTTTAACCTATTTTGCTAGTCTAAAAAAAAAGTAAATCTTATTTCAATAATTTTGCTCTCTGCTAAAAACTGACCAACTGAAAACTAATTTAATATGCTTGTTACTGATTTCTGGAACATGCCTTGTGGCTTGCTTTCTGTGATTCAGTACAGGTGTTACAAAGCTACATAAAATATTTTTCTCATGATGCTGACAAGTACATGATTTGAAAAGGATTTTCAGTCTGGCTGCAATACACAGCTGTTTTGTGTGCCATGTTCACTGTCTGCACCATCTTCATCTAAGCTGTGGTTGTGAGAATGTTGCAGAAGCCCCTATCTCCCACCAGGAGAAATGCCTTTTGCCGTTATTAGCTCCTTCAAGAAAAGTGGGGGAAAGGACAGCGACTGGAGACGGAAAAAAAATGGAGGATATGCTCTTCCAAGGACAGCAGCTTAAAATTTAGTAACAGTAGAGGAATGCTGAAGTTTTCAGCATTTTGAAGAAAAAGAATACCACAGCCATGCACATGTAGTTACCATTTATTCTGGCTCTTTGGACTTGCATGAATCAGAAGACATCAGTAAGTTGCCATATATCATTCTCCAAACTATTGAATGGACTATTTTTCACTATAAGAAATTAAATTTAAAGAGATAAAGCATTGGTTTTGAAATCTTATTTCTGTACTTCATGAGACAKATGTGGGCTTAAGATTTACCCTGTTAAATCCAAGAAATAAAAGGTCAAAGTTTAACCTTTGAATTTGCACTCTAAGAGTAAAGACTTCAAAGTGCACTGTAGTAAAGCATCCCAAAGCAAAGTATTGTTATTGACTGAGTAATGGTTTGCCACTATATTAGGGTACTTTCAAAAATGTGTGAATTGTTTATCTCCCAAATGTGCTCAAATGTTTCTATAGGATATTCTTTGAAACACCTGAAAGCATGGAAAAAATCTGCAGCAAGTTTCCTGCTCCTATCCAATTTAGTCCCAGCCCTGTACACAGGCTTGGTTCACCAGCGAGGCACTCTGGATGTTATGGGTCACATCCAGCAGCTCTGCAATAACTCCCACCAGTCCCAAGCTTTTGTCTTCATCCTGATGCCATGCCACTCTACTCCATTCTACAGGTATTCAATGAGTTAACAGTGCACTACATTAAATTCCAAACACTTAATCAGAAAACAAGATTTCTCCAAAACCTAATAAATTGAGATAGATAAATGTATACAGGAGGAGTTCTGATTTTTCATACAGTTAATACAGAGCGAATAGGGGACATAAGCCAAATGCTTATACCACAGAATAAAATTCAGCATCTAGCTTCATTCATTTTTGTAAAATACCTTTGTATGAGGATATGCAGTAAGTCTCATAGCTTCACCAAGCATGTCACACTGCTTCATTATGGTAGCCTTTGTAGCAAAACTAATCAATAATTGTTACAATCAAAATTTATTCATTTTACCTTTACTTCTGCAGCTAGGCAGTAAAGAAATGTAATTACAACATACTGTGACTGAGGTCACTGTTCCAAAAGGTTTGCAGTAGATCCTGGCAAGTAAACAAAATGTTAAAGCAGATATAAATAGTGAAGCTGATATGGARAATTATCTTTTTAAGAAACTGATCTTGTGCAGTGGGTATTTTTATTAATATAAATGTGTTTTCTGTGAACTGCTACCAACACAGTCCCAGCAGTTTGGAGCTGAATTTACTTGTTCTACTTTGCTTTCATATGAAGTACTGAAGGGAAGAAAATTTTTCCCTCTGATGGAAAAATCKAATAGATTTTGATTTTTACTGAGGTATCTTTTAAAGCGATAAGTCATTTCAAATCTCAGATACTGGTCAGTTTATGAAATGTGTGTTTTTGTTTTTCTCCCTAGTCATGTTCAYTGTCCTCTGAAAATGAGATTCCTTCAGTGTCCCCCAAACCTAACTGGCAATGAGAACTACACTGATGAAGCAGATGTGTTTTACTCTAACCCACTTGGCTGGCTGAATAAGGAGTTTTACAATGACACATTATTACCCAGTCACTTGATCTTCTTCAATGTGCTAGAACAGGTAAGGTAACTGCAAGATGAAACAAACTAATTCTGAGGGTAAGTTACAAAATAAATTAGGGAAGAACTATAGTTAAAATTTTTGAAAATAGTTGTCCACAACCTTTTAAAACAGAGCTCATATTAAAATTGAACCCTCTAGTCCATAATAAGAGTATTGATGTCATTTCAGTGATATATATTTAATGTTCACATATGGCTTCTCCACTGTGCAAATTCTACACACCACAAAGTGATGTTTTATGGAATTCTTCCCAATCCATACTAAAACAAATGTGCCATCTGTTCTGAGAAATTGCACTTTTAAGTAAGCAACAAAGAAAAGCAAAAACACCTGCACTCACAGTACCTTTTACCCCCTCAAATCTTTAATGAAGTCCATGCACTCAAGAACGGTGTCTGGTGAATATCCACTCCGGACAGGATCAAACAGGAGAGGTGCTTCTTTTTCTAGCAGGCTTTCCTAAAATAAAGGATAAAGCTTCCCAGGGACAGTTGAATTGATAGTTTTCAGCAGACTTTGGAACACTATTCTTATGCTCCCAGCTGTATTTTCTTACTGTGGAAATTAATGTATGTTCATTTACAGGAAATATCATCATTTCTAGCTTTAAGRGGCTATGAGAAAACAGCCACTGTTTTTCATACTCATGTACCTCAAGGACGAGTTGGAAGCCACATCTACATCTACAGGAGAAAAACTGAAATGAATCATCCCTGAATATCAGTTTCCAGACCTCAGACCTAATGAGATCAGTTTTGCATAGCAGTAGCTATGCTTAGAAGACCTTGTACTGCAGAGAGGAGAGTGGTGAGTCTGAAAGTGGGGAAGTCAAATGGGAAGTCAAATGGGAAGTCCCATTAGGTAGCCACTGGCTACCTGGAAACACAAAAAACTTCTTCACTAGCAAGTAGGGCAGGGTGGAGTTGCTGACCTACCTTACAACACTAGAAAACATTGGGAGGACTAAAGTTACCACAYGAATACTTAAGCAATAAAAAATATACAAGACTGGACCATTTTTATAGAACTGTACAACTATGCTAAGTTTGTTTTATAAATAAAGACTTTTACCCACAATGTCTCTTTATTTTTCTTCTACAATATGCAGATATGCAAGACATTTCAAGTGTTTAAATCAGCACGCTGATGAGAATGCAGCACAGCAAATTCTTCACAATTCAACAGGCTCTTGAACCCCCACCCCCCAAAGACAGGAAGCAAGTATAAGGTTACAAAGCACTAACAAATACATTACCACAATGTAAACCTATTTTTTGAAGGATGAGATGAAGTTAGTCTATCAAACATTGGAATTAGTAGTTGGTACATTATGCATGGCTCAAGCTTTAACTACACTAATGGAATGCAATTAAGCATATTTTCATACACAGGTCATTGCATGCCTAGTTTCTGTAACAATAGTGCTGGCACCCAATTTATCTTCACTTCCAAAGAACAGTTAAAGCAATGGTACAGAATATGCAAATTAGAAAGCCTGACTTCTGCCTGTTAACAAAAAGGTGTAAAAATCAAATGATTCAGAAAAAAAACTTGCATCTTGCTGCTTTGTTGAAAAACAATTAATTTTCAGAGAGTATGTGAATTTTAATCTTAATTTTTACAATAAATTACTCAATATTTTGGATCAAAGGGTAGTTGCCCCAATTCAATTTCAAGATTTGCCATGTGTCTTCCATTAGTGCGACCATGTTTATGCCATTTACCTTCTCTTTTATTACGGTGTTGGTACTTCTGAGCTTGTTTTTCATGTCTGGAACTTTCAGTTTGTGTAAAAGAAGGTCTTTTAGGTCGACTGCAAAGAGTAAACAAAAGCTTATTACTACTGAAAGCATTTTGAAACACAGTTACATTTTCAAGAACCGCTTTTAACATGCTGAGGTTCAAACAAAATCAGTCTTAAGTAGTCCTTCAGCTTATAAGCAAAATGGGGGACACATTTGTTTGATTAAATAAGATGTTATATATAAAATGAAAGCTTTCTAAAAGTAAAAATGCAGCTGGTATAATAAACTTCTGTATAACATTATCATTAAAAGAATTTGAAATTGTTTTTCTGCAAACTGAAATTCTCACAAATTAAGTATTTAATTTAAAAATAAAGTTCATTTAATAATAAATTAGGAAGATGGACTATAAATAAAATCATAAACCTTATGTGTTTGCCAAAACCACATTTAAAAGGCTACTTGATAGATAACAGGACTATCACCCCCACGGTTCAGCTTTCAATAAGAGAAAATACTATTGTACTAACAGTACTACCTTACATACTATTTAGTAACACCAAAGTAGTTAAAGATTCAGGTTTGCAGTAAAATGCSTGAAATAATAAACAATACAAGTGCAAATCCGTAAGGCCCTGAGAACACTTTTAGATCCAGGAAAGGAATGTAGGAAGCAATTCACACCAAGGACYATTGTGAGCAAGTCTGAACAAAATTTAGTCAGGGTCAGGATCTGCACTAAAGCCTGCTGTGTGATGAGCTCTGCTCTGGGCATATTGACTGAMTCAGTATTACACTCATCTATGAGAGAGTAAATGAAATTCCTGAAAAGTTTGCGGGAACATATCTGCGAGAACAGGACTCAGGAGACTGTTCAAAGATACCTCATTCAGCAAAGGGCAACAAGGAAGTCCTRGTTAATGCTCCAAGACAGTTAATCATTCCATCAGACAGGCAATCAGTGTTCAGTCTAAAAAATCCAACTGACCATTACAGTTTTCTAAAGAACCCAGCAGAAACATTAGATTGTGCTATGTACACACACAAAATTTATCTAAAAGGTTCTACAGATCCACTTTTTGTAACACAATCTAATATTTCCACTAAGTCCTTCAGAAAGTCTTCTGGCATATATGTGTTTATATATATATATATATACACATACATACACATATCCACCCAAAGACCATCCATTACAACAAGGCCATTAGTTGTCTTTACAAAAACCACTTCATCATGTTATCAAGTTCRGGAAACTTGGAAACAAACCTGGGTCCATACTGGGGTGAATTATCATAATGGAAGTAGTATCTGTAGACATATTTGTCCAAATCTTCAAAAAGCTTTTCGTTATTACTTTGGTATTCCTTCATATCTTCCAGGTAATCCTTGACATCATTAACAAAATCAGTGAACAGCATCTGGTCATGTATAAATAATCCATTATGAAAAAACTTATTGATGAAATTTTCTAGTTCTCTCCAGTGGTGAAAGTTATGTACAACTTGTTGCAAATACTTTCTCATTAGCCGATTAAATTCATCCACCCTGATGGGATCCGAGACTTTGTTAAAGAGACTAATGAATTCTTCATGAGCACATTCAAAAATACCAGAGCAGCCCTTTAGGGCAAATTGATGTTTTCTATTACACAAGTGATCATTGAGACATTTCTGGGAATCTGAATCTTTTCCAAATGTTGTAAAATGATGTTTTCTTCCATATCTGGATTCTTTTGGCATGTGAGGTCCCCTGTAATGCATGTGCTTTAGATTCTCATAGGAGTTATGGTCGCGGTAAAAAGTTCGAGCTTTCTTGTTTGCCTCATATCTTTTATCACTTGATGCCTTCTCCTTTTCATCAAAGATGTTTTTTGTGGTATCTTTGAAGTGTCTGAATGTAGACTTTACGGAATCAGAGAATTTTTTCAGGTTTTCTTTCACTGCTTCTTTAGCCTGCTTAATCTTTTCTTTATGGTGTCTTACAAAYTCTTTCGTGGAATTTTTCATAGCATCAAAAGTTTCTTTAACTGAACCAAAAAATGTCTCCTTTGATTTYTTTCTACTCTTACTTTGCCCTTTACCACCTTTCTTTTGTCCATTYTCATTAATTTCTTGCTTTTCAGTTTGGTCTTTTGCTTCAACATACAGCTTCTCCCACAAGTCAGAGCGTTGTTGCTCAAAGTTTAGTTTTTTTTCTAGTTCTACCAGTCTTCCTCTCAGAGTTTCTATTTCCTGATTTTCTCTTAATGTCTCATCATCATCATCATTAGCACTGTCAGGTGTTTGACGAGAACTTAACTGTTCTAGTTCTTTTTTCAGAGCTTCTGTAACATGACGTTCTTTGTCCAGTTCTCGCCTTAACATCTGTGCCTCTGCAAAGAGTGTTTCCTTCTGCCTGAGAAAATTGCTGTTTCTTTGCTTTTCCTCTTCCAAATGCTCCCTTAGTTTCTGATTTTCTATTACAATAGATTCAGTGCTACTACCTTTATCTTCTAAGTTTCTAATTTGTTGTCTTAGCTTCCTTAATTCTTCCTGAAGTGAGGCCAAAGCTTTTTCTTCCTTCTCTAGAGATTCTCTTAAGTGCTGATTTTCTGCAGCAAGACTTTTTTTTTGAGAATCAAAGGATTTCTTCTCCACATCAGTAAAGGTCAAACACGTGGCAAGATCTCCCTTGAGTGACAAAAAGAAACAAAAAGAAAACAAGCAAAAATATTACAATGAAAATTGTTACAATTTTAGTTAGAAAGAAGAACCAAGATARCCTAAACAGAGCTTACTTATAATTTTGGATGCAGTGAAACATRGGCAGCAAGATGCAAAAATAGAGCTGGTTTGTTTATCTCAGTTCAGTTTGTTTATCACACACTTTCTTGGCAACAAAGACCATGTGAGAGACTCCCCCTTCCAGCCAGAGGTCATCACCCCTCACTTGTATTGGTTTAACTAGCTAAAGGAAAGTCAGTTGGGTACATGAACATAACATCTTCAACAGAAATCAAAATGTGCATGTATGCTGTTGATTTATGTCCAGCTAACTGGATTTACAGATCACAAAAAATAAATTAGCAGAAGCAAAGGCATTCAGCAGTTGGGGCAGAAATTCATGAACTGATTTTAAACCGAATTTGTTGCTGAACACACCTGTTCATGTAACTATATACTAACACAAAAGGAGCTCCCCAGTCTGACAGCATCATTGACAAGCTCTAGAGCACCCTGAATTATGTATAAATGCTGCTAAACAGCCACATAAAAGAAAACTTAAAAAAAAAAAAAAAAAAAAGACACACATGCAAAAGCACTCCCTAACTTTCTCTCTGGATGGTGTAATGGTAAAAAAACAGAAGTACAGGTTAGGTATTTTAAAAATTAATAACCATTAATAATTTAGAAAGCAAATTCACAAAACCTGTAGGTTCAACATGTTTTTATAAGCATTTCCTGCTTCAGCTGTCTTCATTAAAATAACTAACATTAAAATAACTAACTTGGCATTATATCACAGGGAAACAGAGAGGCTCTGTGTCCAGATAACTCATGGACTACAGACATTAAAACACAGTATGTTTAAACATTCCAAGAACAAATTCAATCAACATAAATCTTTGTCAAGAATTCAGGGCAAAGTTCTCTGAAAGGACTTACTAAAGCCAAAAATTTAATGGATTTTGTGATAGATTARTTTCACTTTGTGTAAAATACACACATAATGACAGAATTATGCAATGACTTCCAGTTAAGCTCACACCTACCCCCACTTTGTGGCGCACTTGATCTCCTTGCTCTTGTTGGCACTGGTAAAGGTCATCTTTCATATCTTTTAATTCACGTGTCTTTGTCACCAGCTGCTGCCGTTTCTGGATCTGCACTGTACCTACAAAGATAAAAAACTCTCTGGTTAGACTGACTGAGAGTAAGCAGTTAGAGCAACAGAGGAACCTAAACATCATCTTCAATCTCTCTGCAAATT